ATTAAAGAACCTTGTAATGAGAGTGAAAGAGGAGAGTGCAAAAAATGGTCTGACACTCAAGATCAACAAAGCTAAGATCATGGCCACTGGTCCCATCACCTCCTGCGAAATAGAAGGGGAAGATATGGAGGCGGTGACAGATTTTACTTTCTTGGGCTCCATGATCACTGCACATGGAGACAGCAGCCACGAAATTAAAAGATGCCTGCTTCTTGGGAGGAAAGCGATGACAAACCTCGACAGCATCTTAAAAAGCAGAGACATTACCTTGCTGACAAAAGTCCCCCTAGTCAAAGCTATGGTTTTTCCTCTAGTGATGTATGGAAGTGAGAGCTGGACCATAAAGAAAGCTGGCCGCCAAAGAATTAATGCTTTTGAATTGTGATGCTGGAGGAAGCTCTTGAGAGTCCCCTGGACTGCAAGGAGAACAAACCTATCCATTCTAAAGGAAATCAACCCTGGGTGCTCACTGGAAGGACAGATCCTAAAACCGAGGCTCCAATACTTTGGCCATCTCATAAGAGAAGACTCCCTGGAAAAGACGCTGATGTTGGGAAAGTGTGAGGGGAAGAGGAGAAGGGGACAACAGAGGATGAGATGGTTGGACAATGTCATCAAAGCTACCAACGTGAATTTGACCCAACTCCGGGAGGCAGTGGAAGACAGGAGGGCCTGATGTGCTCTGGTCCATGGGGTCACAAAGAGTTGATTACGACTAAACAACTAAACAACAACAAAATTAGGACTCCTGAGGATTTTTGTCCCTGGACTTGTCTCACCAAAGTTTTTCCACAGCCAGTGTCCACTAAAGCTCTATTGGGGATTCCATTAACTAAGGCTTCTACTTCCCACTCCAGTTTCTCTGATTCATGTACCTGTAAGGAAGCTGCATAAGTGTTCACCCAAGACCATTCCATAATAGGGCAGACTTCACAAAGTCGTTCCTCCTGCCACAAATAAAGTAGATCAGCTTTTTCTCTCCTTGCAGAGACCATCCCAGAGAAGGTAAAAGTATACTGGGCTTTGTGGTATAAGCGGATGAACTTGTTTAACCCCATTGGAGGGCCGAAACCTGGTCTCTTGGGCTGAGACCAAAGTTGAACAGGAACAAAAGGTCCTCTTGGCAGTGGAGCAGATGGCAAGGTGGTGTTTATTTTCTCCTTGCCTTTGCTTATTTTCTGGGGTGGAGCTGTGACAGTGCCTTTCCTTTCTTCAATGCACCAGAAGATTTCCAGTAAGGTTTTCGTTTCCTCCTAGGAGCCGGGTCTAGAGTGGCTACCAGCTGCTCTAAAACCACTGGCTCCAACACTTTGTTGGTAGAGCAAATTGTTGGCTTCAACCACCTCATAGCATTAGCCCTCATTTTCTGGGCCATGGTTCAGGGGTGCGTTTCTGGTTTCAAACGTAGCTTGTGAAATAGGAGTGAAGTCACATCCAGTATGCCTCTTCTGACAAATTTGATGGCCTTCCATCTGTGCTTTCGGCCCCCCTAAAAACACTACTTCTCCACTCCATGAGTCTTCTTTCTCAGTGTATTCCTACTCTGGCTGGGCCTCTGAGACATCTGCCACCTCCACTTCTCCCTGAAGCATCTCTTTTGGCTGCTCCTCCAGAATATCAGTCACTTCTCTCCGGCTCCATTCTCATCTTCTTTCAGGTTTCTTCCACCTTCCTCTCTTTACCTTCAAGACCTCCTTTTCCCTCTTCTTTCTGCTCTCTCCCTCTTACTGTCTCTAGCTTCCTTTTTATCTTCTGCATTTCCCAATTCTCCTATTCCTCCTCAAGAAACATTCTTCTCTTCCTGTCATATCTCTTATTTCCTGCCCTTTCTAACTCTCCCCACTTGTCATATTTGAGAAGAGTTTTCTCCAAGTCAACTGGAGAACTAGAAGTGAGGGATTCAGCCATTTCTACAGAGAGGTAAGACAGCCCACTACACGGATCCGGATGTACCTATAAGTCTCCTGTATTTCACAGGCACTATTTCAGATATTTTAAGAATGAAAACATAATGCCATTGCCCCCCCGCCCCAGTGGAGGTTAATGATTTTAACTCCACAGGAGGAGTTAATCTGCTCTGGGTTTTAGCCTGAACTTTACATAAAACTATCCATGGTGCTGAATCTATTTTGTGAATAGTGTTCTGAATCTCAGATGGCTCCTCTAAAATGCAGGGTAAAACTTGGAGCAGAGTCATCCATTGACTCCATTATGTCATACAGTATCTTTCCCAGAGCAGTTCTTTCCACCACCCCTTCGTAGATTAGTTTTTTCATAGTCCTAATCCTTTTCATTAATTGGTATCCTGTAAACCTATCCCAATTTGCCTACCTCTTTCACATTGTGAGGGCAGGTTGAAAGAGAGTGGGTGGCCCGAAGTTACCTTATTTAAATCAACTTTCTAATAAAAAGGACTGAGAACTGTCACCGAAGGAGTCTTTTGTCTGTACTGTTATTAGCATACTGCTAATAAGTGAACAACTGCAAGGAATAAATACATATTTCCAAAGAACCTACGTCGTTTATTGCATCCCAAATCCTAAGGAAGATGTCATTCTAAAGCTCTAATAACCACACTTTCTAGGGAATAAGCCCAAAACACAGTTGGTTGTACTTAGTTAATAGTCAAAGGATTTCGATGTCTATGGAATGGAAGTGATTCTCTGCTCCAAAGAGAGCAACCCAAGAATACATGTCAGCAAAGGTCCGGTCGATCTACAGTACTTAGAGCACACTTTTGTTCCTAAATCATATGAAAAATTCGCACGAAACTGATTACTCTAGTACCGAAAGGAGATCCAAAAACAAGCATCAGGTTGCAACAAAGCTCTGTCCAGTTGAACTGGTACCTGCATCGCCTCGAAAGCCCTTCCTAATGAAAAAGTAGCGTTCAATTAAACAGAGACCCCTTGTGGTCCAATCAATTGCATGCAAACAACTTCTCTTTAACATTGTGCTTGCAAAATGGATACCCCCCCCCTGCATCCAACCGGAAGCGGGAACGTCTGAGTCACTCTAGTCATTCACTTTCTATGACCTGGCAGGGGGAAAAGAGGGAGGGGGCTTCTTTGTGCTGCGCTTGCGTGTTTCATGGTTTCCTGAGTAGTTGGCGGCAGCGGCCATTTTGTGAATCTCTGGGTTCCCCTCCCCCGTGTCGCTTTGGCTCCTAGTTTTTCCTCTGTTAGGTTTTGTACGGAACGGGGCATTTCGGGCCTCTCCCCGTTTTCCGCCCCGTGTCGGGCCCTCCCTGTACTTTCTCGCTGTGTGCGGTGGCCTGGGTCCGTCTGGGAGCGGCCCTCCTCCACCGCCATGGAAGACGACGGGCAGCCCAAGACACTGTGAGTGGGGTGGGAAGCGGGTGTGCACCTGAGTAAAGAGGGCCGTGACAGGCTGGAGTGGTCACAGGGAAATTCTCGGGGCCGTAACCTGTGAAAAAGAGCGTAGCGACTGAGGGAAGAAGGGGAACGAAAGGAGACTGGGATGGCAGAGTCGTGTTACTGAGGCGGCGAAAGACATACGGAGATGAGGGGTTCAGGTAGTTTTTGGTAACTGGGGGCGGGGGGTGTAATATTCAGGTCAGAATAATGAAAACGACATGGAGAAAAGGAGAGGGAAGTAGAAACGGCAGGCGATTGGGGCAAGAAATACTGTCTCGGAAAACTTGCTTTTTCTCATGTGACTGTGGCACATTGTAGAGTTGGAGGGACCTCAGCTATGGCCTGTTAAGAGTCGTATCTCTGAAGCCTATGGGTCTCCCCCCCCCCCCCCCCCCCCCCCCCCCCCCCCCCCCGCCCGCCCCTTATGTAGCTATAAATTGCTCGAGTGCTGGTTTGTCAAAACGTGGGACCATGACCACTTATCTCTGTTAAGTCTCCAAGTTCTTCACTGTAAGCTATTGGGAGCAGACATAATTCAAAACAGAGTACGTCTTCTGTCTCAAGAAGCAAAAATGTGAAATGAGATCCTTCTTATTATAGCCATTGTAATTTGGCAGTGGATAGAGTTTGGCATAGACTGTGACTTTGGAATTTTGTGGGTCCTGTTCTTTCTTCGGTACTGTATATGTTCCCTTGCAATGGGACTATCTGCAAATATCAGTAAGCTTGGTGAATATGAGAAAATGAGAAGGCCAGAAAAATGTTATGCCTATGGTATGACTGAGAGGTGCGCTCAGTGTAATAATGAAGGGACACATTGGATGAAATGTGCAATTGAATTCAGAAATCTTCCTCCCATTTATTCTATACATACAAGAAGAGTATCAAATAATATAAAATAAAGTTAGAAGAAAGTGGTGATCAAACAAGGTCATTTGAGAGTGAGACTATCTGGAATTTAAATTCGTCGTTGTTTAGTCGTGTCCGACTCTTCGTGACCCCATGGACCAGAGCACGGCAGGCCCTCCTGCCCTCCACTGCCTCCCGGAGTTATGTCAAATTCATGTTGGTCGCTTCGATGACACTGTCCAACCATCTCGTCCTCTGTCGTCTCCTTCTCCTCTTGCCTTCACACTTTCCCAACATCAGCGTCTTTTCCAGGGAGTCTTCTCTTCTCATGAGATTGCCAAAGTATTGGAGCCTCAGCTTCAGGATCTGTCCTTCCAGTGAGCACTCAGGCTTGATTTCCTTTAGAATGGATAGGTTTGTTCTCCTTGCAGTCCAGGGGACTCTCAAGAGCCTCCTCCAACACTACAATTCAAAAGCATCGATTCTTCGGCGGTCAGCTTTCTTTATGGTCCAGCTCTCACTTCCATACATCACTACAGGGAAAACCATAGCTTTGACTATGCGGAATTTTGTTGGCAAGGTGATGTCTCTGCTTTTTAAGATGCTGTCAAGGTTTGTCATCGCTTTCCTCCCAAGAAGCATGGCTGCTGTCTCCATCTGCAGTGATCATGGAGCCCAAGAAAGTAAAATCTGTCACTGCCTCCATATCTTCCCTTTCTATTTGCCAGGAGGTGATGGGGCCAGTGGCCATGATCTTAATTTTTTTGATGTTGAGCTTCAGACCATTTTTTGCACTCTCCTTCACCTTCATTACAAGGTTCCTTAATTCCTCCTCACTTTCTGCCATCAGAGTGGTATCATCTGCAT